AGTTTCTCAGTAAGAGTCACAACATAACAGATGATACATGTTGATGAGTATTGAAAATACCTGGGGAAGAATTAAAATGTGTCTTCCTCAAACAAATTGGGCCAAGGAGTTAAGTCTTCCTAGTTTTTGTGTTTCTATATCTATTTTAATGTCTAACCAGCAGCACAATAGTGAATGATTCAGTGTGGTTTTTCTAGTCATCGACTTTGGCTTTGACCAGCTGACTAGGTACAGCTATCCAAATGTGAGATATTTGTGGCTCCATCAGGGAATTTAATAGGGCAGAGCTCAAAGCTATTATGCATAGGGTTATTATGAGTTGCAGTCAACTCGATGGTACCTAACAACAACAACAACAATAATGTAAATAGCCCTTTTTTGGTGAAGAACATGCAAATTAGCTGAGTGAACCATCAACAGAGGGATTGATCAAATAAGAATTGATACCTTTGAGTTGTGGTGGTTCAGAAGAGTTTTTAAATAGGTCTGTCCTTGAGTGCGTGAAACCAAGCCACTCCCTGAAGACAAAGATTTTGAGATTCTGTCTTACATTCTTTGGTCCTGTAGCCAGGAGTCTTTGGAGAGGGATATCACGTTTGGAAGCATTAAGGGACAGAGAAAGGGAGGAAGACCCCTGGTGAGATGGATTGACATAGTAACTGGATTAATGAGAGTAGGTGTGTCAGAGACGTGTGCGGTTGGCTCAGGATAGAGCAGGGTTCAGAGCTATTGTACATAGGGTCGCTATGAGTCACAAACGACTTGAAGACACATAACAACAACACCACCACCACCACCACGCTTAAATTGAGTCGGTTCAGAGGCAGACAACAGAATTGCTCTACCATTAAGAAAGGATAAGCAGAGAGTGAAGCATGCCTTTTGGGCTAGAGATTCCAGCAGGAGACACAAGTCTGAGACTGACTCAGATACGAACGTGGCAGAGGTAATGCAAAACCTTTGTTTCTCCTCTATTTTAAAATGCCTTCCAATCAGAGGGGCTCTCTTTCCAACAATGCCCTGTTATTTACAGGATTTTCAAAGTTCTCTTATCTCAGACGTGGATGGCCAGTCTTGTTTCCTAGCCACAATGGTCCACGTACAGCAAAATAAGAATTTGTGGAAGCCCATAGCATACTCCCATAGAATGATTCTGGTTCTCCTTTAAAAAGACAGTGTTCACTGATTTAGAGGGGAAAAATGTTGTTAGGATTTTTTGTTGCTGTGTTTACTGCTGTCTTTTTTTTTAAAAAAAACAAACTGGGGAAAAATGCCATTCTTCTTTCAGATAAGTAATGGACTAAAATCCATTTAAATTTTTAGAACTTGATTTTTTTAAATTTTATTTTATTATTTTTGTATGCGTGTACCGTCAAATCGGATCTGACTGGTACAGGAGGAGATTGTCCCTCCTTCCCCGGCAGAGCATCTGGTGGATTCAAACCGTGCACCTCTGGGATTGTAGTTGCAGCTTCTTGCCACTATAAAATCCATTTAAATTTTAACCCTAAGAGTTTGTTGTATGCTGTCCAGCCGATTCCAACTCATAGAAGACCCTGTTTGACCCTATTTGACGGAATAGAAATACTCCATAGGGTTTGCATCCAAACCTGTAAAATTAATGTGCTGGTAGGTTAAATGTTTGGACAGTTCACTACCCGGAAGGCTGGCACTGTTATTATACCGTATTTTATGGATGAGGTGCCTTTGATGTGGCTAAGCCCTCTCAGTGCCCTTTATCTGGGACCACACTGGCTCACTGTCCCTCAGGAAAGCTCAGGGTCAGAGAAAAGGCCCAAATGTCACTCAGGAGTCACGCACGGCTCACTGCCAAAGCAGAGGGAGAGCCGATCTCGGGACCAGCTATAGGAAACGTAAGGTGCGCACAGCACCCGAGAGCTTTCTGAACCAAAAGGCGCGGCTCGGCCTGGAAGCAGCTCTGGGGGTCCGGCCGGTCGCGCTACGATTGGCTGAGCGGAAGGTTCAAGGCTCTCGTTCCGCCCCGGTCCCAAGCCCCAGCCTCGCGGGCTTTCGCACGGCGCCCTAGCGGAGAGAGCCGGTGCATCCCGCCCGCGCCGGGACCCCGGCTCGGCCCCGCCCTCGGCTGTCCCCGCGCTCTGCTCCCACCACCACCAGGTAATTCTCCCCTCCTGGCCCCGATCTCCGATCTGCGGAGGCCAGGGCTTCTGGAGCTGAGGGTGCGTCCGCGGGCAGGCCACTGCTAACTCACTCTCCAAAGTTGTTTCGGTTTAAAAGGAAAAAAGCCTCACCGTTCCTGGCAGTCCTGAAAAGTGACAGGGCCCCTCGTATTTCCCGATGGGGTGGGCGGCACTGTTTTGCAAAATGTGTGTATGTGACACAGAGAGGCAGAGAGACAGAGGTGGAGATGGGGAAGTTCAAGCTTTGGATTGCTACTGGAAAGGTGGGGGGATCGAACCTACCAGCTGATAGAGGAAGAAAAGTGGAGCAATCTACTTCTGAGACGATGACAGCCTCGAAAGCTCAGTGGACACTTCTCTGTTCTACAGGGTCATTATGGGTTGAGGTTGACCCGCAGTGATTTGGTGTTTGGTGGGTGGGTGTGCGTGCACGTGCTAGACCATCATTTTGAATATACAGTTTGGGTGTGAGTGTGTAAATGGAAAATTCAGAAGCATTTAAGGAATAAAAGTGTGCTGAAAAGAGGAAGCTGTAGACTCCTGAGTGAAAATGAAGAGTCTGACAAAAAAAAAAAAAAAAGGGTTAACTCCTCAGCCCAACCCACCAACCTGCAAACCTGCAGTACAAGTTTGAACATGGATGCCACAGCACCGCCAACAGGGCTCCAACGGGGAATTGGCTTAGGGAGTGGGGCATTTATGAGACACAAACACCGAAAACCAATGCCATACCAGGGATTAAAATAATTGAGGTTTCTTATCTGAGATCTCAGACATACTTAGAGTATCAGAGATCTTAGAGTATCTGAGAACTCAGATACTCGAGAAAGTAAGAGAAAAACAATTTAAATCTTGATAGTTGCCAAAAAGGGGAGAGTATTGATAGTAGAGGAAAGGCATGGGGAGAAAATATTCTTGTTCAATAAATGGAAATGTTTTCTTTTGATTGTGCATGAATGATGAAAATAAAATTAGTTCCCGGCGAACTCTGGTGGCCTGGGGACAAGAAGCTGTGCTGCAATCCCAAAGGTGCATGGTTCAAATCTACCAGATGCTCTGCTGAAGAAGGAGGGACAATCTCCTCCTGTACCAGGCGGATCCGATTTGACGGTACACACATAAAAAATAAGAATAATAACAAAAAAATAGTTCTCATTCCATGCCAAGCACTGTTCTAAAATCTTTATGCACCTTAACTCAGTTCCTTCTCCCAGCAAACAAAACAGGTAGTCGCTGTTTCTATTATAACCATTTCACAGATGTCGAGTCTGAGACACAGAGAGGTAGATAGGTTTAAGCTGAGGTGGATGGATGATATAAAGCATCTTGGCCCGGGATCAGAAAATTCCATTTCATTAGAAGGACATGGATGTGCAGGAGGAGCAGGGAATTAATCATTGGGTTTGCACAGTTTTATGGGGGGGGGGTGAGAAGAAAATTAAATTACTTTGTTATTTGTATTTAAATTTTGTAAATAAACTTGTAGAGAAGAAAAGAGGGGGAAGAAAAAAAGAAAATTCCATTTCATGGTTGTGTGGACTAAGTCTGCCTGAATGTCCGTTTTCTTATTGTCAAATGCACGTTACAGTCCCTCCCTGCAGGTGAGATGGTGAGTGTAAGAGTGCTTGGTGAACTGTGTGCTGTGATACCAATACCAGAAAACCTAGTGCCATTGAGCCCATTCAGGCTAACAGTGACCATCCACTGTATTCCCAAGGCTGTATATCTTTACTGGAGGTGACTGCCCATCTTCCTCTCACAGAACAGCTAGTGGGTGCGCTGCAGTATAGAAATAAATACACCATGCCACCAGAGCTTCTTTGAGATACCAACAGAATTATTATATTAACAGTATTATTTAAGTAGGGAGCTGTCATGGTAGTGTCTGTAGCTAGGTGAGCTATTAACTTAAAGCCTATACATTTTTGGTGGTTAGAATCCATTAGCAGCTAGCATCATGGGAGAAAGACGAGTAGTCTTGTCGGGTTATGCTTTATAGCCTCAGACACCTGATAAAGGATTACTATAAGACAGAACTGACACAAAGGTAATGAGTGGAGGGGTTTTAAATTTTTTCCCCTTTTTTCAGTTTAAGTGAAAGGCGATAACATCAAAGTGAAGTCTCAACTGAAAAGGGAAAATTATAATCTTAATTTGACTTTTAAAATTTAGTGGACCTGTCCCTCACAGACAGCAAAACATAGTGGTTAAATAGCATTTATTTTTTAAATAAAACATGGGGTTTGGAATTGCATTAGGTTGTTTGAATCCCAGTTTGCTATTTTCTAATTGTGTGACTTGAAACAAGTAACAGAGCATTTTTGCATCATAGCTGTTGTTTCCAGTTTATTAATGTGTAAAATCAGCCTAATGATTCCTCATAGAGCAATTATAAGGATTAAATTAGATTTTAGGTGAAGCAGTCAATGTAGAGTCCCTCTGTGGTACAGTTAACACATGTGCAAGTTACCAGCTTGATGGTTAGAATTCCAAGCCCACCTAGAAGTACCTAACAAGAAAGGCCTGGCAATCTACTTCTGAAAAAGTAACCATTGAATGCCCTATGGAATACAGTTGCTGCATGGCATTGTGCATTGAGGCACATACACTCTTTAACATAATAACAATAAGAGCCTTGTCTCAAGTGTCAGAGTGCTAATCAAAAGGTCAAATTGCAGTTCCATGTTGCATGTTGCAATCTACTCCATGGCAACTGTTTTTTGTTTCCTTTGTTTTAGCAGGGTCTGCAAAGAGTAAGTGCACAATAGAACTTTTATTATTTATAAAAATAATAGGACTTCTAATTTTTTTTCATATGTCACAATTTCTCCCCAGAGACAACTTCTCGATGCCCACCATGTGTGGGGGATTGATAGAAAGGTATGTGGCTGCCATGATCCTAAGTGCAACTGGTGATGCCTTGGGGTACTACAATGGAAAGTGGGAGTTCCTCAGGAGTGGGGAGAAGATCCACCAGCAGCTGGCCCAGCTTGGTGGCTTGGATGCCATAGATGTGGAGAAGTGGAGAGTCAGTGATGACACAGTGATGCATCTGGCCACAGCGGAAGCCCTCATAGAAGCTGGGGAAGCCAAGGACTTGACCAATCTCTTTTCCCTCCTTGCCCAGCATTACCAAGACTGCATGGAAGACATGGACGGCCGGGCACCAGGTAAGCCGGACCTGTGGAGCTCCAGGGGATGCTGAGAGTAGAACAAGTCCAAGAGAGTTACTACGAATGTTGGTAAATGCTTGTATTGAGACAGAACTATTGGTTTCATACTAGACTACTGCTGGCAAGTCAGTTTCAACTCATGCTGACACCTGCCCCCGCCCCCGCCACACACACACACACACACACACACACACGCACACACTGGGTTTCTGAGGCTGTATGTCTTAATGAGAGGATGCTGCCTTAATTTTTCCCAAAGACAGGCTGATGGGTTCCAACTTTTGGCCTTTGGGTTAGCAGTCCAGCTGTTAACCTAATACATCAGACAGGCCTCTTACTGTTTACCATGGTAAAATTATATTCTAGAAAGTAAGAAATTGCGGAGATGGGATTTGAAGGTTGGGGCGTGTATTATACTATCACAGTGACTTTCCCTTTCTGTTGAAGAAACTTGGAGACAGAACTTGTTTCTTCCTTTCTGCTAGGACCTCTGCTTTGGTCAAACTGACACTCATTGCCCTACCTAATTCTTCCCCAGGTGGTGCCTCAGTGCAAAATGCCATGCAGCTGAAGCCACACAGCCCCGATGGCTGGAGGATTCCCTTCAACAAATATGAGGGTGGCTGCGGGGCCGCTATGCGGGCCATGTGCATCGGTCTCAGATTCCCTCACCAGAGCCAGATGGATATGCTGATCAACGTGAGCATCGAGAGTGGCCGTATGACCCACCACCACCCCACAGGATACCTGGGTGCCCTGGCATCAGCTCTTTTCACAGCCTATGCTGTGAATGGCAAACCACCCCAGGAATGGGGGAAAGGTCTGATGGAGGTGCTACCAGAAGCCAAAAAGTACATTGTCCAGTCAGGCTACTTTGTGGAGGAGAATCTTCAACATTGGTAAGTTTGTTGTTGTGTGTGCATGCTAGGATGGTTGGACCGCGGTGTGTACGTGCTCTTCCACTTTCTTCAGCCACGTCTCTGCTCACCTGCTAAGGATTTCCAGTTTACCTGTCAGTGATTGCTGTGAAGTAGCCCACTCTATGCCTCAGTGAGCAGCGTATTAAGATAGTCATACGGCTTCCCTTTGTGTGAGGATTTTACTTTGTATTCTTGTTTTCTCTCGTTTTTTGGTTCAAGGCAAAGGTATATAGTTTGAATCCACCAGGTGCTCCATGTGAGAAGATAAGCACCCCACTGAAGGGTTGGTTCTGAAGCGACAGTACACAATAATTTGCATTTGAGATGAGGGAGCTTGGTGGCTTAGAGGTGAGGTGTAGCACTATTAACCCAAAGGCACACAGTTTGAATCCCCCAGCTGCTCTGTGGGAGAAAGATGAACATTTCCCCCCCCATATCATTTAAAGCCCAGGATACCTTCTGGGGGAGGGTCTAGCTCTGAGTTGTTTATAACACCATGCCAACAACAATGTACTGAGAGTAGCTATACTGTTTATCTCCTCGTTGTTTTTCTGTGTTATTTTAACTGACTAATAATATTTTGACATCATGGGTTATAATGCCTGAAATCGATTTTTCCACTAGCTCATTGTTAGCTGCTGGTAAAGCCACATCTTCCTGTTTTGTGAGTTCATTCTGTGTTCCCTTTCTTAGAATAAAAAGGTCCAGAGGCTTTCTTCTGAAGATGCCTATGATATTTTAAAGTTCCTCCTTGAAATGTAAAGCTTGACATTACCCTCCACGTAGGAGAAATACACACTTATTTACCACTCTTTAACTTGATGCATGTCTTCTTTATCTAGAAACAGGTGCAGTTTCCTTGCTCATAAAGATAAAATTTATTCAACGAATATCACCTACAGCTAATTTTGATTTTCTATCTAGGTTAGGATATTAATATAAGACATTGAAGTCATCTTGAAATTTTCTCTCTTTACACATCCATCTGATACATTTTTTTAACAAATAAAATTTTTATTTCATGCTGTTTTGCCCTCAGAGTTCGTGTACATTGTTTTTCACACCAGATCTTTCCCATGTCCTTTACTCATCAATTTGTGGGACCCTATGATTACTTCTCATTCTCACCTACAGGTTCCTACCCTGTCCCACTTGGATCCTCCCACATATTTTACTAGTTATCTTTCTGTTTCTGTAATAATGGTCTTATACAGTATTTCTCCTTAAGGGACTGAGTTAGTTCACTTATCATAATGCTCTCCAGTCCTTCCCAAGGTAAGTAGTGATTTTCTTTTTCTTTTTTTAATTGAGATTTTAATGAAAGTTTATAAAGAACTTGGATTTCCATTCATTCATTGTTGCACATTTTCATCCCTGCCCTCCTTTCCCCCCAGCTCACTTTTTTTTTTTTGGAAAAAAATTCTTTCGTTGTTATGTAGTCTGTCCTCCCCAGACCACTTACTGAGCAGCTCTTACTCTGGACTCTTGTCATGCCAATAATACCTAATCATAGATTCCTTTTATACAGTTCTCTCCCTCAACTGTTTCTATGTCATGCACATTATTTATCTTTTTTCTTAGTTTCCCCTCAACTCCCATGTAAGTCCTGTTTTATAACAGTGGTATTATGTAGTATTTGTCTTTTTGTGACTGAGATATTTCAGCACTGCATAGTATTCTATTGTGTGAATATACCATAGCTTCTCTATCCATTCGTTTGTTGATGGGCAGTTGGGTTGTTATCAACTCTTTGCTATTGTGAACAAGGCAGCAATATTCATGAGTGTGCTTGGGTGGCAGTTCTGGTTTCATTAGGGTATATTGCCAGTAGTGGAATTCCTGGGTCAAACAGTATTTCTGTTTCCAATTTTTTGAGGAAGTGCCAAACTACCTTCCATAGCGGTTGCACCATTTTACACTTCCACCAACAGGGAGGATTCCAGTCTCTCCACAACCTCACTAGCATTTGTTGCTTTGCTGCTCTGTTCAATTTTGCTATTTTTACTGGGGTGAGATGGTATCTCATACTTGGTTTGATTTGCATCTCTCTCAGAGCTAGGGATTTTGAAGATTTCTTCATGTGCTTGTTGGCGACCTAAATGTCTTCTTTGGTGAAGTGTATGTTCATATCCTGTTCCCATTTTGCAACTGGGTTGTTTACCTTTATCTTGTTGTGGTGCTCAAGTATTCTATAAATTCTAGATATAAATCCCTTATCAGACATGTCAATATCATATATTTTTTCCCAGTCTGTGGCTTCCTTTTTTGCCCTTTTAGAGACGTTCTTGGATGTGCATAGGGATTTGATTTTTAGAAGGTCCCTTTCATCTATTTATTTTATCTTCTTCTGGTTGTAGATTTTTCAGGATGCTTGGAAGACTGTTCATGTTGTGCATTAGTGCTTCTGGGGTTCTTCCAAGCCTTTCTCTAATGAAGTTTGTAGTCCTTGACTTTAGTCCTAGGTCCTTGATGCACTTTGAGTTGGTTTTTGTGTATGGTATGAGGTGTGGGTCTTGTTTGAGTTTTCTCATGATGGTTTTCCAATTTTGCCAAGTATCCCCACTTAACTGATCTCATCTCCTTGTCAAAAATCAGTTGACCATATGTTGCAGACCGAGGGTCCCAAAGAATGAAATAATTTTATAATTATTAATAATGAGACAGACTACCAGGAATGATATAGAGCAGAGAGTGTGAAAAATAGGGGGCCAACAGTTCCCATGACTGAAGGCCCCAAGCCATGCTTCTCTGAGTATTTATTTAGAATCATAAGGAAGGTAAACAAAGTAAAATCACAAGGAAGTACAAAACAAAAACAAAGGATAACGGTGAAGTCTTTTACAGATAAGGCCAAGTTCCTCTTTATGCTAATCTCAAGAGGGAGGGATTCATTTGACACAAACTAAGAACAATGTTGACTCCTAGGGAAGGCCCCAATGCCACAAGGTGGCCTTCAGCTTGTATTAAGCTTCCCTCATTTCCCGATACAGCATTTGGTCTACTATTATTAAATTTGATATTCGGCTTCCCTCAACCATAGGTAAATGGGCTGATTTCTGGGTTCTCAATTCTATTTCATTGACCTATATGTGTCTGTCATTATAGCAGTACCATGCTGTCTTAACCACCACGGTAGTTTAGTAGGATTTGAAATCAGGAAGTGAGATGCCTCCTACCCTTCTTCTGTTTTTAAGGAGTTCTTTGCTTATTCGGGGCTTCTTTACATTCCAAATGAAACTGGAGATTACCTTTTCCATCTCCTTGAAGAATGGAATTGATATTTTTATTGGGATTGCACTGAATGTGTAGATTGCCTTTGGTAGTATTGTCATTTTCACAATATTGAGTCTTCCTATCCATGAGCAAGGGATATTCTTCCATTTCTCCAGGTCTCTTTTTGTTTCTTGTAGTAATGTTTTGTAATTTTTGTTGAATAGATCCTTTGTGTTTCTAGTTAGATTTACTCCCAAGTATTTAATTTTGTGATTACCTATTGTGATGGGTATTGCTTTTCTTAACTCTAGTTCTATAGTCTCTTTGGCACCATAGAGAAATCCAATTGATTTGTATGCTGATCCTGTATCCTGCTACTTTGCTGAACTGGTCAACTATGTCCAGTAGTTTTCTTGCTGAGTCTTTAGGGTTTTCTAAGTATACTATCATATCATCTGCATAGAGAGACAATTTTACCTCCTCTTTGCCAATTTTGGTATCTCTTATTTCTTTCTCATGTCTTATTGCTATCGCTCATACTTGTAATACAATATTGTATAGGAGAGGTGATAGTGGGCATCCTTGCCTAGTTCCTGTTTTCAAAGGGAATGCCTATTTAACTTCTCCCCATTTTGAACAATATTGGCTCTCAGGTTTGCATATATACATTTTTACTATTTTGAGGAAATTCCCTTCTATTTCTATTTTGTTGAATGTTGTAATAAAGAAAGGGTGTTGGATTTTGTCAAAGGCCTTTTCTACATCAATTGATAGTATCATGTGGTTCTTGTTCTTTGCTTTGTTAATATAATGAATGACACTGATTGTTTTTCTTATGTTGAACCATCTTTGCATACCTGTTATGAATTCCACTTGGTCATGGTGAATTATTTTTTTATGTGTTGTTGGATTCTATTGGCCAGGATTTTATTCAGGATTTTTGCATCTATTTTCATGAGAGATATTGGCCTACAGTTTTCTATTTTG